CCCCAACACCCGATTGGGCTGTCAATTTCCCGTGCGTAATAGAAAATGACTGAAAAACGGCAAACTTCGCATGTCTATATTATCCACATTTTACAACATTTCGCAACGAAACTTTGGAATATTACTAATTTTGTGATGCTCTTTCAAGCTGTGATGAAATTTTTGTCTAAATCAAAATTAAGTCTATAATGCAAATGGTCCATTAGCCGTACACACGAGCAAAAAAAATTGTCAAGGCAAAATTTATCACTGACCGCGGTGCCATATTTTAAACACAATTAAAATTAATTCTTTTATTAATATCTCTTATCTCCAGATATTACTTTATCGCGCGATATTTGCCGCTGTGCTCATCACATCGCTGGCGAACGGCTTGCAGAACAAGACTGTGGTGATAAAACAGAGAATTCGGTCCGTTGTTGGAAAGTACCTAAGAGGTCACGTGTTTAAGACGACAACACAGGCCGCAGACCCCCAGCATTGTTTGGCGGATTGTTGGGAGGAGAATGACCGATGTCAGAGTTTTAATTATCTTCTTGATTCGAACATGTGTGAGCTGAACGAAGCGAGCAATGTGACAAATCCCGAAGATCTCATCGATAGGTCTAATGTCGTGTACTTGACGAATCCTGTTTTTGGGCGCCAACCAGTATGTAATATATAACATATAACACCTCATTTAGGGGCTGATTACATGGAGCGATTTCTACCCAGGCTGAAAATTTTGACGATTATACATGAGCTAGCTTATACAATCTGATTCAGCCCGGGTAAATTTATCGCTGGCGTCGCGAGAAATACGAAATTAATTAACGCGCGAAATTTCATAAAAAAACACGAAGTTCCAGCCCGGGCTGAAGTGATTACATGGCCAGAATTTCAGGGTGAGTTTTCAGCCTGGGTAGCTCGAACTGGGCTGAATTTTCAGCCCCGGGTAGCCGGCATGATATCGCGCCATGTATAATCAGCCCCTTAAATAGATATTTAATTAGGGCTATAGCTTCAAACTATTTCTTTAGGGCTGAATTTCAACCCAGTTAACCGAGCTGAAATTGTTTCCTGATTACATGGCAAAGTTCAGCCAGGGATAAGTTAGAATTTCAGTTCAAACGGCGGGCTCAAATCTCTGCCCGGGCTGAAACGAGCAAGTCTCAAAATGGAGCTAATCCTCTTCTTCGAAGAATTTAAAGTGTTGTTCATGTGTATTATTTGACTTCTGCGAGACTGTGGTTGCATTCTAAAATAGAACAGACAGAAATAAAGCCACTTATTATAAACGCTGTTGTCTCAACCCGGTTGAAATGTCCATTCGATTACAAAACGCACAAGGTGTTACAGATCTGTTCACAAGCTTTCGACAAGTTTTCTTCGCGCTGCTTGTTCCCAGTTGTTGTAACAAGTTTGGAACAAGCTCTTTAACAACTTGTAACAGGCTTGATGGCATTATCAGACTTGTGACAAGGTTGTTCTAACAAGTCTGGTACAGTCATGATATAACCAGAATGTTACAAGATTGACGAGACGACACAAGATTGTAACAATATAGTCATATCATGACTGTATCAGACTTGTTGGAACAACCTTGTAACAAGACTGATAATATAAAACAGGGTTGTTACAAGTTGTTAACAGTTTGTTCCAAACTTGTTGACAACTTGGGACAAGCAGTGCGAAGACAACTTGTTGACGACTTGTTGCCAGACTTGCTACAAGATGTGAGACTTTTGCGTGTCCACATAACGATTTTCAGCCCGGTCAACCGGGGTGAAATTTTCAGCCCGGATAGCTTCAACCGGGCTGAAACCCATCCCGGGCTGAAATTTCTGTCATGTCATTGCTTGCTGTGTTTAATAGGATTTTATCTTTGGGCTGGCTGAAATTTCATCCCGGAAAACCGGGATGAAACTCAGTCCGGACTAAAAACTCTCCAAGTAATGTGGAATTAAAATTCCCATTTTGCTACCGTGCAATGTGTGGAACACGTATACAACTATCTCACGCTCAGCCATTCATTCTGCAGTATTCGTATCGTGATCGTATAGCTCATTTAATTATATTTTTTATACGGAAACCGATAGAATTAAATTCAAATACATAACTCGTCGAAGGGAAGTGGCTGGTGTACAAAAGTACAATATTTTAGCCAATTAGAATTAGATAGATAGATAGATAGATAGATAGATAGATAGATAGATAGATAGATAGATAGTGGTCCGTTGGGTTCGACAGAACTCAATATATTACCGACAAAGACCCGCGAATCGTATAGTCAATTGAACGTATTAAATATGTCAATAATTTTATTCGATCTAAAAGTATAAAAATATAAAACTAATGTAAGTAAAGTATAAATGGTACATACGTGTTCTTTCTCAGTAACTTACTTCTTGGCGAGTCATTGAACAATCCTCTTTAACAACAAATAATTCGTCCGATATATCTAGCGTGTCCGATATAGTTTCAAGTCGCTATTACAAACCTTATAACACATGTTTTATTTCCCGCGTCTTAGCATAATTAAGAATGGCTAATCTGAATATATTACATAAATAAATATACATTACGTCACTGTTCACAACATTCTCCCCCGCCGATGACGACGTCGTCATCGCCATATCCTTCGTTAGGGTAGATCACTGCAATCTTCGTAACTGGCCTTCGGTATTCTCCAGTAGGGGTCTTCAATGTCACATTTCGCACTTTGCCATCAGATCCAGGATGTACTTTTGTGATTCGTCCGATAGTCCATTTTCCTCTTACAGCATTTGTATCCACTGTCATCACCACGTCGTTCACTTGGATATTTCTACGATCTACGCTCCACTTCTTTCTTGGGATAAGTGACGGAAAAACATCGGTTGTCCATCTGACCCAAAACGAATCTACGATTCGCTGCACAAATTCTACACGATCTCTTGGGTTCTTGGTAGCTTTGAATGGACCTTGAGGTACATTGGAAGAGGAACGACCAAGCAACATGTCGTTTGGACACAAATACGATCCATCATCCGGGTCGTTTGGAATACGGCCAATCGGTCGCTGATTAACCAGATTTGCAATTTCTAACAAGCACGTGTACAACTCGAATGGTGTTAGTACTTGCTCTCCAATTGCTTTCTTTAACGCGTATTTACTGCTCTTCACCAAAGCTTCAGAGACCCCGTTTTGGTGCGGCGCTGCAGGCGTTATAAATTGCCATACCATTCCATTTTCAGCACAGAAATCACGAAGTGTTTTGATGTCCCAACCTTGTATCATCTCTCGTAACTCTCTTGAAGCACCAACTAACTGGGTTCCATTGTCACTGAGCATAAATTTTGGACATCCTCTGATGGAGAAAAATCTTCTGAGAACTTGCATGTAACTCATCGTGGAGTAGTCGACAGCCAATTCTAAATGAATTGCTCTAGTGTTCAGACACGTAAAGATCACTCCGTAGTGTTTTACTGTCTTGTTTCTTCCGACTTTCACTGCGTAAGGGCCAAAGTAATCACAAGAAGTATAATAAAACGGCGGCGTCTGGGGTGCTAGTCGTTTTTCCGGGAGATCTGCCATCAGTTGAGTTTCTAACTTGTGTTCCGTTCTTTTGCAGAATACGCATTCGTGTTTTACTTTCTTAGCCAGATTATGAGCTCGTAGAATCCAAAACTTTCTTCGAATTTTGGCGGTGGTTGAGGCGATACCAGAATGTCCTCGTTGATGCATGTGACGCGT